AGATATGTTCCAGAAAATGTAAAAATTTGAAGATGCTTTTGATGTTAGGAAAAGAAAGGGAGAAATTAGAATTACTGAACAGAGAAATGGCATGCCATCATAAATTTAAAAATATATTTTCCATTGTTAGATCTTAAACAGTAATTACAGGAAAAAATAGCAAAGGTGAAATCAAAGCAAAAGTTAGGTAGCCCTCTTTAGGGAGTTACGGGTCACACAAACCAAAAAGTATGTTAGGTGATGATTTCAAGTGAATTTCTGGGCCATTCGGAGGGTGAGATCACAAATACCTCTAATGGTCCCAGACTTTCTTTTTCCTAGTGGCCAAAGTACCAATGGGAATTTAGCTGACCTTGGGATGGTGATTAATAAAAGAAGGCACTAAAATTTTGGTGAAATTGAGGAGGCTCATTGATAACATCTGATGACTTGTCCTGGGTAAAGAAGTAAAACTAATACTTGTTTTTAAAGAATTTCAATGAACAGCATCTAGTTAATTCTTAGGGATATATTAGTAAATGTCTAACTTCTATAATTTTATATTTAACAGCTGATAGCTTATATTTATTTTAAAATTAGGGCTTCAGTTTGTCCAGGACATAAACCAGTTCTTTTTTTTTTTTTTTTGAGGAATGTATACTTAGTATGGATGTTTTATGGTAGAAAGACTGTTTTATACTTTTACATTTCTTCTCTATTTTGAACATAACTGGAAATGTATGCAGTGATGTTAAATGATAATTATAGCTAATTTTTTTGAGTTATTGCTTTGTGCCAGGCAATGTGCTTGCAATATATTATATTATTTAATCCTCATAATACACTGTAACGTTGGTGTTATGGTAAACCACATTTTATGTAAAATGGAACTAAACCCAAAGAGGTTAAAAAATAAGCCAGTTATATATTTATAACAGATAAAGATAATTTCTAAAGAAGTATCTGCCACTTGCCTATCAATGTCTTTTCAGATAAATAAATAGAACACAGTGAAAATTCAGTGTTTGCAAGCCAGAATTAACAGTGTATTTTCTTTGTTGTTTATAGAAGTACCTATTAAAGAGACTTAATTTAATATGGAATATTTATTCAACTATAATTCGTGAAAATGTGTTGGCATTACAAGATGACTACTTAGCTCTGTAAGTATGTTTTCAGAAGTGATAATTGAATAAAATGCATTCATATTAATAGGCTTCCAGAAGTAATAAAATAAAACCTTCATACCTGTTATTCATTGAGATATTTTATATGCTATCATTATTTGAGAACAATAGCTCAGAGATTGGTGTGCTACATGTATTCTAACAGAAAATAGTCGTTTTAGATCTTAATTTACCTGCAAAGCACGTGCATGTACACATAGGAACTTACAGCTCTATATTCTCAAAGCCTAGACTACTGGTTGAAATTATAAATGTTTCCTACTATTGGTGAAGAGGTGCTAAGCAAAGCTAGCCTATACCAGTGAGTTGAAGGGCATGGGGAAGCCACAGGGGAAAAGGTCCCTTCTGTATATTATTGTTAACATAAATTCAGTCATTATGCAGATAAGATGAGGTAGGTGGACAGTGATATAGATCAGTCACTGTGTGTGAGCACAGGTTAGTATCACAAATGACTTTCATATTACCAGTTTGGTGAGGAGAGTAAACACATTGTCATGGTGGTCTAGGAAGGAGGCAAGAGGCAAAATGGGGTGGTAGTATTTCCGTCTTCCTTGTGCCTAAGTTTTGTGCGTAGGATGGTCTCTAGATTTAGGGAGGGACTCTGTAGCCAGTAACAGTATAGGGATTATACCTACAACTTCTGGCCAACATCAAGTTCAAATCAATTAGACCAAGCAAGAAATACAAAATATACAAAGTATGATTATTCTGACTCAATAGTACTATTCTGGGAGGGCAGAAATTTTAGTGCTAAGGGATGTGACTGGAAGGACATAAAATGTAATGGATGAGTAGGTTGACAATGGTAAGGAATAGCTGGGATCGAGAGTGGCTAGGCAATTTGTATGAATGAATGGGAAGGCAAAAGTGTGCTCAATCAGGCAGCATATTTGTTAACCAGACATATCCTTGGCTCTCCTAAATTGGACTGAAGCAGCCTACTTTTTATAGCATCCCAGGGACAATTCTCTTCAGAGCAGCTCTAGGGAGTTAGACTGCACTTCCACAGAACTCCAGCTTGTTGCTACCAGCTTTAGATTGGGATGGGTGAGGAGAGGGAGTGAGTAGAGTACGTAAATGAATACCTAGAACTGTCTCTCAGAGGACCTCCACCCTTACACATTCCTCTTCAGCTTATCAGAAGGTCAGGCCAGGCTGGGTTGAAACTGGAAGATGGAGTAACAGAGATTTGGCGCTTGCATTTTCTGGAAACTTATGGCCAATTTGGGTTTCTTTACCCTGACCCCAAACTGGAGTAGGGACCACAAGGCATCACTTACCTGGATTTATTATTGGTCTTCACTCTATTCTTTTGAACTTATTTTGTTTTAAAGTACAGTGTATACCCCTGCTCAGCTGTAAAAACAAACCAAACCAACCAAATACCTTTATTCTTTTTCTGAACATGTATATAACAGCCAGGAGGAGTAGAAGAAACACACTAAAGCAAGAGAAAGCAAATTGTAGAAGGGGAGAAATGAACTCTTCCCTTTCCCTTTCTTGTATAGAGGACGAACTTTATTTTAAAGTCTTTTAGATCAGATACTCTAAAATCATTTTTTATCCATAAGGCAATTCTAGTGAAAGAGAGGAAAAATAAATTGACAACAGCTGTGGAGTGTGTGTACACCCATGTGTGTTTGAGGGAGATGAAGGATGGCAGTAATTTGTTTCTCACTTTCAAAAAATACTGGTCTTAGGAGCTTTTTTTGGTGCCTAGGAGCCTCTCAGTAAATATTTCTCTGAATCTTAAATATCTCTGTCATCCACAAAAGCAATTTTTTTAAACAAACCCAATGTCATTGAAAGGATATTTAAAAATACCCATCTTTTTATGAAACACACATTTTTGGAAGCAGAGAAAATGAAGGTGGTAATGCAAAATAAACTGTTTTTCTTTGACTTTTTCTTCAAGAATATCACTGGAAAAACTTTTTGGAACTGCGTGTTGGTTGGGCCTTGAAGACTGCCTTCAGCTGTCAAAAGAACTCTTCACAAAATGGGTGGACCATCCAGAAAATGAGTAAGAGTAATATTGTAATTCCTCTTGTTTTTGTCCTATTTAAGCACCAGCAATTTCCCTTTTTGATGTACTCACTGTGGGAATGAGTGTTTTGCTTTCACTTGGTTAGGCGCTCTCTCCTACTATTCTTTTCAAATACCTTTTTAAAAAAACCAGTGTTTAATGTGGGTCTGTGTATAACAATAGACTAGAATTTATACAATGAATTGTCACCTAGGACCTTTCACTGCCAATGCATTCTTCCAATAAGCATTTATTTGGAGCTGTCTCTGCTTGACTTGAATCTTAATAGGTTGTTCTTTATGATTGTTTGTGATTGTTATATCTATGAGTGCAGCAGAGCACCTCCCTCTCCATCTCTCTCTTAGTTTGTTGCCTCACTGAGCGCTGAGACTCTCATTTTGGTTTTATTACCTTTAATATACCACCTCAGATGGACTCTTAGGAAATGTGATAATGAGATATGAGATACAAGACCAATTTGTATTATCAATATACTCTATACTATTCTAATTTCCTTCTTTCTTAAAGCCCCTTAGTTTAGAATTGATTATCTCTTCTCATGGAATTAATGCTAATGACAGTTCTGACAATTGCCTCTCTAGATTCCTACTTTTGACCTTTATATCTGTGACTACAAATATTTTTTCTAGATTCATACTCTAAAGTATGATAACCTGGGGAAACATAACTACTATGAAAAATATCATTTTATGTTATATTTTACAGAATACCTTATCCAATTAAAGATGTGGTTTTATGTTATGGCATTGCCTTGGGAAGTGATAAAGAGTGGGACATCTTGTTAAATACTTACACTAATACAACAAAGGAAGAAGAAAAGATTCAACTTGCTTATGCAATGAGCTGCAGCAAAGACCCATGGATACTTAACAGGTGATTATGCTCAACTTACCTTGAAATTTCCTGGTAATGGAAAAAAATAGAAATGTGCTAATGTAAGTATGAAAATGATGCATATTTGTGCTGCACGATCTTAGAACCATGCGATTTTGATTTCGTTTATTTAAATTAACTCTTTATGTTGGATGTTTAAAATGTATTTTTTGCAAATGCACTTTTGCAGATTTATGGAGTATGCCATCAGCACATCTCCATTCACTTCTAATGAAACAAATGTAATTGAGATTGTGGCAGCATCTGAAGTTGGCCGGTATGTCGCAAAAGACTTCTTAGTTGACAACTGGCAAGCTGTGAGTAAAAGGTAAGAAGGAGAGTGAGACCTTTCTTTCATTTAGGTCACTGGTTTGGCGCTGGAAGCTCAGCTGTAGTCTAGCTAGGTCACAAAAGTCTTTTGCATTGACTAGAAAAGTGATCATTTTTCCTTCGTTTAGTCTCACTACAAACTGCCTGTGTTATGGAAGAGCAATGCATGAACTTTTAACTATGGCTTGAATATTTTTATCTTTTAGTTAGCAACATGCCATACTCATAAAATAGATGCCTATGCTACTTCTGATAAATTTGCCTTAGTTCACTTTTCTTGCACATTCTGCACAAAAAGTGTTTCAGACTCAAATTAATTTGCTCTCTACATCTTATGCGTTTGTTTTTAGGGCTTAGTTTATAGTCAGCAGTTTTGCTCAATTTTGCTAATACTTTTGTTTGAATAGACAGTAACATTATTTATGGATTGTAAGAAGGAAATAAAAGTTCAACTTAATAATTAAAATTTTATTTATAGTCAAAATGGCACAGGAACATTTACTTAGTTCTTTGTACATCTGAATATTTAATTATCACTAATTAAACAGATATATTTGACATGATAATATGTATGTCACTAGTCCTAATGTAATGATGAAGGTAGTATAACATTATAAGTAAAAATGCTTATGCCAGATTAAATTTTATATTAATGATATGGAAAGTATCTATACTGAATTTGTTAAAATGTGACTGATCACTAACAAGTTAGCAATTAGTTTTTCTCACGCATATTCCACTGGATGCTATTCATGAAGATGGGGATGATAAGCCTTCTGGGACAGAAGAGACAATAGCTCTATCAGTTTTGAAACTGTTTTAACCCTCACTTTTGCAGACTCACAGTGCATTTTAGCGTTATAAAGTATCCAAGAAGCCCTGCAGAAGGAAACTTAGAGTTTTCCATACAGTTTGACTACACAACATCTTCTAGGTGTAGTTCTTCCAAACTCCAGCTTGGGATATGCTGATGTAAACAAAGCGTCATTTTGCCGGTAGAACAGTTGTTCCAGAAGAAAGACAGATGGGAGAAACAAAATTTTCCAACCCTCTCATTTGGTTCTGAAACTTAAAAACACCCATTAGTTAACATTTAGGCCTTGTTTTCTTCTTCTATAGAATAATAGATGTATTCGATAAATGTAAGATTCTTTCTAGTAATAAAAAGTTTTAGTTTTTCTACATCAAGATGCAGTTCAAATTGTTATTGGAGATGTAAAGGGATTAGGACTTGGTATCTGATAAATGCTGTAGAGGAGAGATGACAAGGGCTTTTGGGGATTTAAGGGGAAGAAAGGGATGTGCATGTGATTTGAACAAGCATAGTTGCAAATCTCCTCCTTCTTCCTGGAGGACAGAACATCAGGAAATGCCTGGAGGCAGAGCTGGGAGGCCAACTTGAGACTAGTCACAGTAACTGGCAGGAGCTTAGCACACTGGAGAGGAGATGGGGTGGGAAGGTAAGTTGAGGGTCAGAGAGAAGGACAGGTGATAACAGGCCCTGAATATCATGTGAAGGAGTTTTATTTTGTGTGCTCTTCATTGGTGATGTCCTGTTTCTAACTGGTGTCGTATGTGAAACACACACACAGGCTGTCGTGATTATGACAGTGTGTTAACACTACTGGGGGTCAGTTCTAGAACTGGGGGATGGGGATAGACTTAACTAGAGCAGTATAGCAAAGTGGTGGTTTCTTCCTCTAAGAACTATGGAAAGTGTCTCTTCATTACTGTCCTTTGTCCTTTTATTTATTGTGCTTTAGTTTTTCATGTATCCACTAGAGACATGGTATGTCAAAGAGTTAAGGCAATAGAATCTAGAATCAGATCAATCTTAGGATAAGGAGAGTGCTAAATATGTAACCTTAAACAAGATTTTTAACCTAAGCTTCGGCTTTCTCATTCATAAAATGAGGATAATAATGAATAGGCTTTAAGATAATTTAATAATGTGCTATTTAAGGTGATTGGTACACAATAAATGTTTAGTGTTCATTATTATTATCTTAGTGAGATAATATGATGTATGTGCTTTATTACAAGTCCCTATATCCTTCACTTTATTTCTTTTTCTCAATATTATCAATTTCTATTTTTATGTTATTGATAACATCCCTCAGCAGTATTAGAGTCTCATGTTTAGAATGAAAAACACACATTGATGTTGTTCTTTAAAATAACATGTTTAGTCTGGGCACGGTGGCTCATGCCTATAATCCCAGCACTTTGGGAGGCCAAGGCAGGAGGATGACTATAGCCCAGGAGTTTGAGAACAGGCTGGGCAACATAGCAAGACTCTATTTCTACCAAAAAATTAAAAAACAAAATGATGTGTTTATATATGCAATAATTACAGTTTTCACAGCCACCCATGAAATAATTACCAATTAATAACCAAGACTCAGAAGTTAAATAACTTAAAGTCAACACCTAGTAAATAAAAAAACTTGAATTAGAAAGCGTGTCCCCTGGCTCTGATTCCCGGCTCTCTATTTACTTCCTCCTAAGTAAGAAAATGCATACTTCATAATTTCTTTTTTGAGAGTACTACTGAAAATATTTAATGTTTCAATGTGTACTTAACTAATGCCTCATCTACATTTTCAGTGGCTCACGCCTATCATAATCCCAGCACTTTGGGAGGCCAAGGCAGGAAGATCACCTGAGGTCGGGAGTTCATGACCAGCCTGACCAACAGGGAGAAACACCGTCTTTACTAAAAATACGAAAGTAGCCAGGCATGGTGGCACATGCCTGCAATCCCAGCTACTCAGAAAGCCGAGACAGGAGAATCGCTTGAACCCGGGAGGCAGAGGTTACAGTGAGCCAAGATCAACCCATTGCCCTCCAGCCTGAGTAGGCAACAAGAACAAAATTCTATTTTTTTTTTAAAGATATGCTATATCCTTTAAACATTTTGAGATGCCAAGATTTGTTCAAATATTTTAAATTTGTTTTACTTAGAAAGCCCTTCTCATGATGTGATTTATTTATCTCAATTCCAGAAAATGTTTAAATAAATGAAGTGGCTTTTCAGTTGATTTTTTAAAAATTAATAAACTTAATTTTTAGGATAGTTTTAAGTTCACAGCAAAATTGAGCAGACAGAGTTCCCATATATCCCTGTCAGCACACAGGCACAAGCTCCCCCTCTATCAACATCCTGCATCAAAGCCACACATTTACAGTCACATGTTGATTAACAACAGAAATACATTCTGAGAAATGCATCCTTAGATGATTTAGTCTTTGTGTGAACAGCACAGACTGTACTTACACAAACCTAGATGGTAGAGCCTACCACACACCTGGGTTCTATGGTATAGTCTATTGCTCCTAGTTTACAAACCTGTACAGCATGTTACTGAATACTGGAAGCAGTAGTAACACAACTGTAAGTATTTGTGGGTTTTTTGTTTGTTTTTTGTTTTTTGTTTTTTGTTTTTTGAGAGGGAGTCTCGCCCTGTCACCCAGGCTGGAATATAGTGGCGCCATCTCGGCTCACTGCAAGTTCCGCCTCCTGGGTTCACACCATTCTCCTGCCTCAGCCTCCCGAGTAGCTGGGACTACAGGCGCCTGCCACCACGTCTGGCTAATTTTTTTGTCTTTTTTAGTAGAGACAGGGTTTCACTGTGTTAGCCAGGATGGTCTTGATCTCCTGACCTAGTGATCCACCCGCCTCGGCCTCCCAAAGTGCTGGGATTACAGGCGTGAGCCACCGCGCCCAGCCAGTATTTGTGTATTTAAACATATCTAAACATAGAAAAGGTAATGCATTGTGCTACAATGTTACAAGACTATGACATTGCTAGGGGATAAGAATTTTTCGGCTCCTTTTTAATGTTGTCCATTGTTGACTGAAACATTGTTATGTGGCTCATAGCTGTACTATAATTGATTAACATAAACAGGCACATCATTATCACCCAAAGTCCCTAGTTTACGTTAGGGTTTACTCTTGGTGTTGCACATTCTATGGGTGTTGATGTATTAATGTATAATGATGCATATTCACCATTGTAGCATCATACGGAATACTTTCACTACCCTAAAAATCCTCTGTGCTGTGCCTACTCATCCTTCCCTCTGCCCATAGTCAGTTGCTTTTTTATGAAAAAGTTTGAATAATCTACTTCTTATTCCAGAAGTTTTCATTTTATTTTTGTTTTTGCTTTTTAATGTGTTGAGCTTTTGGTTGCTGGTTTGGTCTTGGCTGTGGGAGCTAGAATCAGGGGGAGTACGAGCAGAGCGGCTTTGCACCCCTCCCATAAGGTGGTATCTTGCTGGGATCTTATGCTCCATTTCTACAGGGTGAGAGACAGGCTGGCAGAGGCAGCTTGCCTAAATGCAAAAACAAAAAAATACCATCTTATGTCCAGCTTGGCCCTGAGCATGAAGTGACCAGTGCTGTGGTTTTGAGTATATCCCTCCCTTATCTCAGAGCACTCATGGGCATATGTCTCACAGTGACATGCAGGCAAGCTCACAGACATCGTCTCCACACCAAGGCACATGTTGGAGTTGAGTATGGCGCAGGAACCGCTGTTCCTTTCAGCCAGGCCCAGAATTCTTCCCAGGAAGCCTAATCTGGAAATACATTTTGGAATATTTGATTGAATAAAACAACTTTTGGCTTGGTCTTGCCCCTCACTGTCATGTACAGAGCATTGCACTGGTTGGTGTGGGAAAGTTTAGTTAATTATTGGGCCAAAGATGATCTCTTGAATACTCATTCCAATGACGAAAACTCCATTGGTCATGGAGCTATATTTCAAGTTACAGAAAAGTCAGTAGGTACACATAGCTATGAATAGGTCCTATGGAAGCATATGAATGGGGGTGAAGCAATAGTATTTTTGGGACTTTTCAATGGATGTGGTAGAAGCATTATTTGTGCCATTATCATCTCTGTTAAATGGGCTTCACAGCATACAGAAAAGCCAGTTTTATCTCAATATAGAATACAGAGTATGATCAGTTTTAAACTCATCCTGTCCAAAATGAATCTTACGCTCTTCATTAAGCACTTGATTTTTTTCTCCACATGTTATTGTATTGCCTAAAGTCTTAAGCTTAAAAACATGGAATCATTTTCACTTCTCCTTGGTTGTATTTCATGATGGGGAACACAGCCAAAAAGGCTAAACAGGAGCACAAGCAAAGTGAGAGGTTTTCAGAGGGGAGGGTCCAAGCACTGGGGAGTCTGTTCCCATGGCATGGATCAGGCTGGATGCCTTGGTGTCCCCATGCTTGCCGCGTGGCCATCCTTGCCAGAAGGAATCTGACATGGCAGGGGAGATGAAGGGAGGGGTAATGTGAGAAGAGGGAGAGGCAGAAAGGAGAGCCAGACTGGAGTACTGAAATCACTGTTCCCACACTAATGTTAGATGTTATCAACTTTTTAAAAAGGATTACTATATTGACTCATATTGGCTTTTGACTTCATATTAATTAGAATGTATTTGAACACTGATGGGGGTAAACTATTTGTAATGCAGTTTTGTTGAGTAATATTTGAAAGAGATTGCTCTCTCAACAAGAATGATAAATCATGTGTTTCAAAAATAGCCCCTCTTGAAGTTGACAAGAGCAGGAAGGAATGAAGTGTGCCAGGTAATCTAATAGGTGCTTCCATATACATTATCTCATTTATGCTCCAGAACAATGCTTCTAAGTATCTGTTATTTTCCATTTTTACAATTTATAAATTGTCCAAGGTAATGTCAAACCCAGCCCTGCCTCCTCAGGTACCTTTCTCCTGTGTCTGGCAGAAATTAACACATTTAGCACCATAGGTAGGTTTCCTCTGTTTTCTATTTTTATTTTTAAGGTTGGAATTTGAGTTCTTTGGAACTCAAGTTTCTTGAGTCATTTTATAGGTTTTTTCTGCCTAGTTGGCCAATTAAAATAGAGAACTAAGAAATGTTTCCTCTTTCTTCATAAAAACAGTTTCGCTTGCCTCAATTATATGCAGAGTTCTATTGTCCTTCACGTTGCTCAGGTAGACACAGTGTAAGTTACAGCTAGGAACTCAGAAAAACAGCAGCACTATTTTCTCTCACCTTTAT